GCCGTCACAGGGCCTCTGTCCTGCAGCCCCTGGGGAAGAGGACAGGCCCCTCTGCCCGGGGGGCACCCGGAGACCCCAGGAGACCCCCTCTGTGGAAGTCCCAAGTGCCTGGGAGAGCTGCCTTTCCTTCCTGAGGGTCCGGCCCCCGGGCAGGCGAGCAGGACACACGCCCAGCCCAGGTGGGAGCCGTGGCGACCAGGGCCAGACCCCGAGGCTGACAGGGGCCGCTGCAGCGAGTCCTCAGCTGAGCTCCCTGGGCTCCCCTCCAGGTGGGGCCCAAGACTCAGGTGGTGCGTGGCTCCCAGCCCAGGGGGTGAGGCCAGCGAGCGTCATGGACACAGTGGACCTCCAAGCACCAGGAAAAGGACAGCAAGGGCAGCCCAGGCCCTGCCTCCAGTGTCCCGAGACACAGATGGGCTGGACAGGACCCCTGCAATCCCACCCGGCAGGCTGCTGTCCTCCACCTGGGCCCCACGGGCCCTGGACACCCCCACCACGTACCCCCGGCCAGCTCCCAGGCCGGCCATGCCTACTGGACCCACTGGGTTTGGACACTGGAGCTGCTGGCGGTCAGCAATGGAGGGAGTAGTCCCCAGGTTGTCAGGCAGAGCTGGACACCCTCCACTGAGGCCAGGGGACCCTGTCCTCACAGTGACCGCTCCAGAGGTCCTCAGGCCTTGGTGCTCCTGCATGGCTGGCCTGGCCTGCCCTCCTGGCCTCGCCTCCCTCTTGCGGCCACACCCTGGCCACAGTCTCCTAACGGGCTCTGTCTGGGGCCCCTGTGTCCTGGGACCTGCTCCCCCTGGCTCCCAGGGGCCAAGTGCAGCCTGCTGGAAGCCTGCGGCCACTTGGTTATCTGGAGGCCAGGCCAGGGCTTGGGGATGGGGGGTTTCAGTCAAGGACGCTGGTGACACTTGGCAGCTTCGGATGGGTCAGAGGGACGCCCGAGGGGCTGTGGGCCTGCTCTCTGCACTGTGTTGGGGTCTGATGTTTCTCACAGGCCCTGGTAGAAGCCACCTGGGTTAGGACAATGGGGACCAGCCAGTCTCCGTGGGTGAGTCTGGGGGAACACTGGCCCAGCCCAGGCTGCTCAGGCGCCGGAGACCAGTGGGACCAGCCCCGACACCTGGAAAGGCTGGGGTGGCCAGCAGTGACATGGCCTCAGAAAGGCTGCTGAGGCTCCGGCCCTCCTGAGGGTCTCTCCTGTTGAGGGCCACCGCCGAGTCGGGAGGACGCATGGCATTTTTGCCAGAAGTAGTGGTTGAGAGGTGACGCCAGGCCAGCGAGCCATTGAGATGATGACTTAAGTTCTCGCGGAGTTCCCCTTGAGTTCCTATGGTTGAGCTCTCGTGGGATTCCAGGAGAGTTCGCGTTGGTTGGGGAGGTGCCGGAGGAGGGATTTCCGGTTGGTGGTTCCTGGAGGAGCCGCGTGGCGTTGGGGAGAGTTCCCGGGGAGCGTGTGTGGAGCGTGCTGGTGGAAATAAAGTCTGTTCCTTTATTTTTTTCAGAAATAAAGTTTGTTCCTGCTTCAGTGGCTCATGATTTGTGCCCAGCCAGACTGCAGCATCCCCAGCCCTGCCCCTGGACTGCTGTGGCCGGGTCCCCTTCCTGCCCTACCTGGCCCTGCAGCCCTCCCCCCATAACCCACCCCACCCTCCCCAGCACCTGGGGCTGAGCACAGGGAAGGGGAGGGGCGGGCTCTGCTCCCTCCCTGCAGCCGCACCCCCAGCTCGGCCCCAGAGCCCACGGCCCAGGTCTCCCCCGCCATGCCAGGGCCCACCGGCCTTCCCTTGCCCCTTCCACTGTGGCCAGCAGGGCGGGGCAGCTCCTCAGCTCTGAGCTCATGTGGCCCGTTTCCTCCTGCCCAGGAGGACACCTGACCTCAGAGGAAGCCCTCCGAGGACTCGGCAGGAGAGGTGGCCACTCAGCAGGGTGCTGGCTCACAGACTCTGCTTACCACTGCCCCCCAGGTGTGACAAGAGAGAACTTGTCCCCAGGGGAGGCTGAGGCCCCCCAGACCCTGTGGGCAGCTGGGGGTTCCTGGCGCAGGGCATCAGGAAGGACTGAGAACAGAGAAAGCCCGGGAGGAGCCCGGGACCTGGCCCAGCACAAGGGCAGGCGGTAAGAGGCCAGCTCCGTCGGCGGTGGGGTTCCCGTCCTCTGAGCCCTGGGGCTGGCGGCACGGTGAGTGATGGCGGGAGGGGGCCTCGTGGACCTGGCCCTCCACAGAGACAGCACCCTGCTGTCCAACAGGCAAAGGCTCGGGTTGGGGGGGCGGTGGGGAGCTTCAGGGGGCAGTGGCTTGGGGAACGTGCCCAGGCACACAGACAGCTGCTCCCAGCACCCCATCTGTGGGCCCCCTCCTTCTCCCATCTGCAGGGCGCTGGGAGTCCACAGATGGGCAGGTGACAGGCGGGCAGCGTCCCTGCAGAGCGGCCTCCCTGGCCCACGACAGGACGTGGAACTGGCTGGTGCAGGGGCAGTGGACAGACTCCAGCTGGGCTGAGCACCTGGCCAAGGCTGCCCAGTCTAGACTGTCCCTCCTTCATGGGAACATGAGGATGAGAAGGGGAAAGGACTGCCCGGCCCTGCGTCCCCCGCACGCCCATCACGGCCGCCCAGGGACCAGCCTGTCACTGCCCTGGCTGGGGTTGTCCCCGCCTGGCCCTCGGCCCCTCCCACCTGTCCCTCCTTCTGCCGGCCTCCCCCCACCCGGCCATCATTCCTGCTCCAGGGAGCCCTGACGCTGGTCAGGGCCAGAGCGCCCATTGGCACCCAGGGGACCCCGCTCCTGCCACAGACGACCCAAGGCCCAGGCTAGGGTGGGGTACGAGCCGGGGCAACATTGAGGACAGTCCCCAAAGACTCCATCATCGAGATGAGCGACGTTTGAACTTCCCCAAGCTGAGTGGCCGGGGTGTCCCTGAGCTCAAAACGGACCCACTGGCCTTTCCAGCGGACCCTGCCTTCTGCACACGTGTCAGCGGGCCTGCGGGCTTCCTGGTGGCCTCTCCACGTCTGCTCGGCTCCTGTGGGCAGAGGTGTGGTGGGGAGGGCCGGCGCCTGGTCCTGGAGCAGAGCCCTGCCCCGGGGCAGGCAGAGCCCGCCGGCTCCGGGCGGCACCTCACCTGCCCTCTCCTCCCACACCACGCAGGGCCCCCCCAGGCCCTTGCCGAGCCCCGGAGGGACACCCCTCTGTCCCTTGAGCTGCGAGCCCAGCCCAGAACCCCTGCTCCGCCTCCGCCCTTTCCCACTGTGGCCGGGAAGGGGCCACCAGACGGGGACGAGGAGCCACCTCTGCGAGATCCTTCATCTGCCTCATTGGATCCAAAAGGGGAAGGTGCAGGAGGAAGTCAGCTGGGCCCGACTGCCCACTGGGCCTGGCTCCTGGCCTGGCGGGTGTCCACAGGTGAGCCCAGCAGGAGGGGGGGATGGGCAGGGTGCTCCAGCCTGGCCGTGGGCGACCACATGGGCACTCTCCAGCCGTTGTTCACCCAGTCACCTTGGGCAGAGCCCATGTGAACCAGGCCTCAGCTGGCCCCCAGTGGTGGCAGCGAGGTGGGCACCAGGCCCCTGTGTGCTCAGGCCACACGGGTGTCCGTCAAGGGCTGCCCAGAAAACCTGCGTGGGGAGCCTGCGGCACCATGAAGTGCCGTCCTCCAGAACCAGGTAGCTGCCGTGTGGCTGGGGGTGGGGAGGTGCCGCCCCCAGGGCCAGCAAACGCACAGAGGCTCTATCCAGGGAGAAAGGCTCATCCACACGACGATTCCTGTCCAGAGACCTGCAGAGAGAGCTCAGAGCAGGTGCGTCCCTCACATGACACCTGGGGTCCCAGAGCGCCTGGGTGGCCAACAGGACTGGGCTGCTCCCGCAGTGCACAGGGAACAGCGTGGACGCAGCCTGGATGGCCTCAGAGGCACCTAGCAGAGAGAGGAAGACAGAAATCAGACCGAGGGTGCCCGTTATGGAACCTTCTGGAAAAGACAAAGTTACAGTGGTGAGGACAGACCAGCGGACGTGGGGGGACATCCAGGGACATTTCACGTGACGGGCTGTTGTGGATCCCGGGTGGTGGCACAAATCTGCAGGTGTTAAGTCCTTAGACGTGCCTGGTGCGAGAGAGCCAAGGACTCTGTTCACGGTGACCCACCTGCAGGGGCTGGGAGAAAACCAGACTGTCCCTTCGCAGGAGCTGCTGTGTGGACAGTCACGGTGCCAGAGGAGCTGGACGCTGGTGCTGCCCCTGCTGAAGTAGTCCAGACATGAACGCAGAGAAGGGGGGCAGAGTCGGCACCCAGGCCCCCTCTCCTGGGCTCCCGCCACACACAGGCCGTCTGTGCTGCTTGTCCCATCTGAATGGCCAGCAGCCATGGGGCAGTGTTGGCCAAGTGCCCACCACGCAGGGGGCCTGGCTGGGCAGGCAGCAGCCTCGAGGCCTCTCGGCAGTGCAGGTGTAGACATGAGGCCTGGTGGGAGCGTCACCCAGGGCTGGATCAGGGAGGACACTGGCCCAGGGGACAGCAGTGTCACCTCCCTCTGCACACAGCCAGCCGGGGCTCCAACCCCTGCACTTCCCAGATGCTGAGAATGAGGCGCGGCCTCCTGCAGGCGCCAGCAGGGGCACCTCCCGGCCTCCCCAACCTCACCCCTCCTTTGGCCAGGTTCTGTCCCCAGCCCCAGGCCCAGCGGCCACACCCCAGCTGACTCTTCCCCAGACTCTCCTGCGGCACCCGGACCTGCATGGCCATCAGACCTGTTCTGCCTCCCCCCAGCTTCCTCCTTCCCGCCTGTGAGCCGGGCCCAGCAGGCCTGTCCACCACCAGCAGGCAGGCCCTGCTCCCTGAGACCCCCAGCTGTCCCCCCCTGCTCTCAGAACCACCTGCCTCTGGTCTCCACCTGCTGCCCACACTCGGGTCCCTCCCCTGGCCCCTGTGTGGCTGGTGGGCCTCTCCGTCCCTGCAGAGCTCATCTGCCTGCGGGTCCTGCCTCCTGCCCGGGGACAGAGCAGTGTGCTTCCTCCCGGCGCCCAGGCCTCCCGGGCTCAGCTGACCCCCAGTCTCCTGAGCCCGCCTGCTCCTGGCTCCTCGGGATGCCCTCCAGGAGACGCTGACCCCAGGGGGGGCATGCTCCTCTGCCCGGGTCCTGAGGAGGCAGCAGCGCTGGGGCATGGCCTCAGTGCTGTGGAATGCGGTGGTGTGAGTGCCTGGGCCCCGCACCTGGGGGAGGCAGAGTCCGGGCAGCTAGTGCCCACCCTGGTGCAGAGGCCTGGGAGTGTCTGCAGAAGGTTCTCAGTGTGGCCCGGAGCTCTTCCCGGATCCCAGGCCCGCTGGGCGGTGGAGCCAGCAGGCCTGTGGGGGCCAGGCAGGGCCTGGGCTGTGGGCAGGGTCCCCCGCTGCAGCCTCCCCCACAGAGCACAGGCCAGACAGCCCTAGGGGGCCACCGCTGAGGGACAGGCCTCCTGGGGTCAGGCTCACAACAAAGGCCCTTGTGTGCACATCCTGGGCCTGGCCCGGAGGACAGAGCCCCTTTCAATGCAGGCCGTCTTCTCTGCCGTCATGGCCACCTTGGCCTCCAGGGTCCTGGGGCCACACTGATGCGGCTGACGCAAGAGCGATTCAAACAGCCAGCAAGGCAGCGCGGCCACAGGCCTGTCCCTGACTTCAGCTCACCTCAAATTCCCTCTGACCCAAAGGCAGA